CGGGCCTGCCGGGGCCGCCGCGCTGCAGCCCTTGACCCAGGGCCCGGGGCCCTTCGCGCCCGGTCGGGATGGACTCGCCGGGTCAGGCCGTTGGCTCGTTTTTTAAGGACCCAATGGTCGTGCCCCAGAGGCTGCCCGGGGCCGGGATGCCGCTTGGCCGAGGAACCTCCGGACTCCCACGTCGGACGTGCCCCTGGACCCGGGCATCGGGCGCTGCGTCCTGGCAGCAGCTCAGAAGCCTGGGAGCTGGCAGGGCCCTGGGCAGTCGCCGGGGGTCCCGGTGGATGTCACAGTGCCTCAGCCGAGCGCTCTGCTCTTTTCACCCCCGCACTGATTTTTACCCCCGATAGCACCCTCCTCCTCGTCCGGAGGCACCCTAAAATAATCCCCCCGGTTCCATTTTAAGAAGGTGATGGAATCCCAGCTGTGCACCAGCTGAATAGAACGCGCTGCCAGCGCCCCGACCCGCCAGCCCCGCGCCGGGGGTCACGACGCTGCCCCCCGAGCGTGGTGGAGACTCGAGGAGTTTGGCCCCGAGTCTCGTGATTTTAGAGCTGGAAATCTTTCAAGATTATCTCACCACAAACCTCATTTTATGGGGGTGAAACTGCATCCGAGGGAAGTCAAATGACTTGCCTGAGGTCACTCATTAATCTTGAGCAGTTTTCGGGGTGTGGGATGGATCGTGCCCGTTTCTACCAGAGCCTAGCCGGTTCCTGCCACGGGGGATGCCGGACAAACGTACCAGAGGACGGTCCAGACCCGTTTAAGTGCAATATCGTAGATAGGAATCTTCCGAAATGAAGTCTTTGTAATTCAATTTTTTTTTTTTTTTTGCATCCAGACTTTGGGCTCCTTGAGGATATTCCCCTTCTGCTTTTGGATATCCTCTTGCCATACCCAGCGTAAAAAAAACATTCTTAATGATCATCCTCTGCTGGACAGGTAGGTGCTTTGGGTTTATTTTTCTTTCTCGCTGTTGAATAGGGGAGTAAAGCCACAACTGAGGGACTCCAGATGAAAAGTGTGCTTTCAGGAAAACCCCTGCGGGCCCGGGAACGGGAGCCTGAATTTCTTGACGTGTGAAGTAGGCGCCAGCATTTACTTGATTACTTACCGATGTTACAGCTGTTTGGGGCTGGAAACGTCAGAGGAGCCTGTGGCCAGAGCTCTTGGTGTGTCTGCCATTTGAAGACAGGTCTCTGAAGTCGTCTGTGCGCCTCGAAAGTGGGGATTGACAGGTTTCCCGTGAAGCTAGCTCTTGAAGAGTGCTCCTCCATTTGAGATAACAGTGGTATATGTTTTTAAAATTTTGTTTCCCACCCTTAAATTTCTGTGTGCTCTCCCCCTCCCCCACTTAATATCTTAAAGGGCCACCATTTTTATTTGGCTTCTAGTAGAAGTTGTCTAAGAGAAAACAATTCAAGAACTATTTGTATCGGTTATCAGAATAATCAGATCATAACATTTCACTGCTGGAAATTACTCTAACCCAGGGCAGGCCTTGGAGAGGCCCTGCAAGGCGAGATAGGAACGGAGCCCTTCAGGCCTCAGACCAGGGCTCTTCCCCTCATTCCACTTGGGCTTCCTTCACCTTCTCTTACTGTCTTACTACCTCCCCCTGCCCTTGGCTGTCATCTTTTGGTTTTCGTGTGCATAGAATTGTGGCCTGTTGAGGTTTCTCTCTACCCTTGGACTATAGTGTGATGTGTATATGCAGACGTAATTTTTTCCTCGTCATGGTTATTTGTCACATATGTTTGTGTTTTGCAGGTGTGAGAAGATTGCAGTTATATTACAATCATGGTGCAAAAATACCAGTCCCCAGTGAGGGTGTATAAACACCCCTTTGAGTTAATTATGGCTGTAAGTACTTAACTTTCCAGTTTACTCTTTGGCTTCTTATGTATTTTGAGTATTTGGATTTGATGATCTATAAATTGATGTTTATTTTATTATTTGTCTCCATTGCTCCATTCAGACTTTTTTTTTATGCTTATGAACTGTGTCTAGATTCTGTGAAATGTTTTGAAACTCTTAAGTCTCTGAAAATCAAAATTTGCATGTTTGTTTTTTTAAACATGCCCCTCAGGGTGATGTCTGAGTTTGAGTTAATTCTCCTTTTGAAAACACAGAAGTGGGATTCTGACTAATGCTCTTCTTCTGGATTTTGCTCTGTTTTGTGATTGTTAGAGTAGAACAGGGGTATGGAGTGTGGTTTTCCCCTCTGTTGCCCTTTTGGAAGAGCTGTGGCCATGGGTGATTCATTTTACCTAGAACTGGGCACCATAGGATGGAGCTTAATTTATGTTATTCTGGTAATTCTGCTGAATTAGTTTTTGCCCTTAATATCAAATTCATGAGTCATATTAGAATTCCAATAACGGGGTCACTAAAGTCTTTGTTATTTACCCAAAGAGTTTGGCTGAAAATAAGTATTTCACTTAGATGCAAAACAAAACAAACCCATTTCCAGTCACTTTTAGATTACCTTAGGGTATTCTTGCCCTTCCTTTCTCTTCTGTGTTACTGTTATTGTATAACACACACAGGAAATGCTTCCGTCATGAACATGCACCCGGAGGAAAGAGTCAGATTGAACCACAGTCAGGAGTCACAACATATGGGCCCCAGAAGAAGTCCACTAGGCCC